AAATTAACCTTGTTTTCTGAGGAACTCGTGATTCATGATTGATTAGAACACTCCCTCTTTTATTGCAGTGGGAAAAGATTAAAGTGCAATAATCTGATATTAAGAAGCACTATCCTGCCACAGATCCCTTAAAACACATCCATAGACATTTTAGGTTTTGTCTTTGGAAACAATTCTTTTACATGAGAATTTATCTATCTGATCAACTATGACATCATCAGCAAAAGTCCGAGTTTATGTCACGGCCAAGCCAGACTTAGGGTCCAGGGTACTTAGACAGTGGTAACTATGTATATTGCATCTGAATTTGATGTTTACTTGCTTTCCCCAAACACTGTATTTGATGAAGAAAATAGGTCGTCTGTCTTTCCTGCCCACTCTGAACTTTGTTTGGGGGAATGCTGCTCTTCGGGTCTCTTATGCTGATGGCCATGAGATGCACACTCCTTGCGGGCACTGTTGTTCACTTTTTGTTCTGTCTGCCCTCTGGATGAGCGGTGACTCTTGGGTGTGGGTTCAGGTCAGATTTGAAGGATTATCTAAGAACCATAAGTCTTGGGGGGGTTCCCCCAGTAAGTTTCATCTTCCCTTTGATGTTGACTTTTGTTCTACAGTTTTCCCATTCTGTCCTGGACCTTCTATTTCAAATCCTGATCAGGGTAGTTAGAAGTGGAAGCTAGACACCACCTAGTTCTGTTGGCCTCTGTCTAGCAGAGACTGTGGTTTACATGGCCCTTTAGTCCATTGTTTCCTTGAGTCTTTGATTTTCTTCACTCTTATTTGCTCCATCGAGAGAGGGGCCAGTAATTGCTGTTTAAATGGCCATTTATAAGCTTTTATCAGTAGGAATTCTTTTGAATGGTCACCAGCTAGTCCATTCTGCTTAGTGAGATTGTAGACCTATGTCTCTAGTCAATATATTTAGGCATTCCTTTTGCTCTGACGACAATGATATTTCCTCTCTGTATTAGTCTGGGTACTTTAGAGAAACAAATCCACAGGAACTCGCGTATAAGCGAGAATTTTATATAAAGGGTAAGTGCACATCAAGAAAACATCCCAACCCAGTGCTGCCCAAGCCCACAAGTCCAACATTAGCCCATATGTCTGATACCAACCCACAAAGTCTTCCTCCATCTCACAAAACAGACACTATGGCACCGACTGTGGGAGGAAAGTTAAATCGGTGAGTGTGTGAGCATCTCAGCGCTGGCAGGGGTCTCCACACTGCTGCTCCAGCCCCCAGGGTTGCATTGGGGTAGGTCCATGTGGCTTCTCCTTAGGGATGTCGTGCAGGAAGTGTGTCTTGCCAGCTGAAGCAGGGAACTGGCTAAGGCAACTGCACCCTGGTCCAACCATCAGAAAGCAAGAGACCCGAGAAACTAGAAAGGCAAGGCTCACCGAACCATTTATCCCTCTGCCCTTCAATTAACCCCATGTTTTATTGGCCAGGTTGGCACAATAAACATTAATTAACTCTCTCACTCTTAGAGATTCCTCATGTCAGTTTAGTATAACATGTAAGCACTCCTTGGAGCTTGCTTGGTCAGTTACATTCAGTCCTGTACTGTTTGTAAACACATTTCCTTTTCTACTTCGTAGAAAGATCAGGAAAGCCACTCTATCTCTAGCCTGGAGGCTGATGTATCTTCCAAGCCATGGTCTTTGTGCAGCCTAGGACTGTTGAGTTTTTGCAGGAGCCATGAAGAAAGGTGTTTCTGCCTTTGGAGTCCCTGCTGATGGCCCTGTCAGAGTACACCATTGTGGTTTACAATATTCAGTCCCCCAAAATATTTCCATAGAAAGGTGGTCTTAGAATTCCCTCTCTTATTTCCACTCTCATTTTCAATCCTAAATCATGGTCTAAGCAGCAGGCACTGGTAGGAGAAATCTGACTCTTGGAGACATTTTTTTACTCTAGCATTTATTGGGGTCTTGCTTAAGACCCCCTTTATGATGCCAGCCATGAACAGGAGGATAACTGTCTAATAACACTCTTGAATGGTCTCAGTATATACTTCTATTGCCGTTTCCTGCTGGCTCCTAACATGTTGTGGACCACTGCCCTCTGTGGTCCATTCCTCTTTCTAAATCCTGCCGTCCTTTACTGTATCATGGCCCCAGGACACCACTCAGTCTGGGCAATTAATTTGGGTCTGTTGTTTGCTAAACTCTTGTGAGTAATTTTATTTGGCCCCAATTATCATCCAGGCAGTGAACAGATTGCCCTCTCGTGTAGACAGTTTCCACTCAACCCTTGGGTTCATTATTTTTATTTTTCAAAAGGATGCAGTCATCATCTTAGTTAATGTTCTTCCATTGTCTTTCTTCCCAAACCTCTGGTATTTGTTGGTAGACTTTTACAGAGCCCAGAGCCCACTCTGCTAAGCAGGCATTAACATGCTGGTCCCCCTCCCCCCCCCCCCCAAGGCCTGGAGGTCCACAGCCATGTCCCTGCAGAACCTGTTTGCCCTTTGGGGACACCATTAACAGAACTCCGCAGGCTCTGCGACTGCAGTTCCCCAGAGACAGGAAGAATATACAATACCTTTCTCTGTTCTAATTGAGATCATCACATCAGAAAACGCATGATATTTTATCACAGAAGGAATTCCTAGACCCTTCCCTAAAATTCCTCTTCATAAAATATTCAGATCTAACATAGATAGGCTTTTTCCATTTTCCCTTCTTTTAAAGTTCTGCATTGCATTTCCATTGAGCTGGTTCCGATGATCTCTTTCATCCCTAATAACCTGTTATGTCCAGTTGGCTCGCTGGACTCCAGGCTCCTGTCCTCATGGCCACACTTTCCTCCTCAGACCCCCGTTGATAGACTCCAGTCACCAGGACCTACCCCCTCTACTCTGCCATCTTATAACTGTGATTCCATCAGTTCAGTACCTTACTTCTTCACCTCTCTTTCACCCAGGATCATCCATTCTTCCGAGACAATTCCGACTTCTAGAAGAGCTTCCAAGATGCTCACCAAAAATTTCAGCCATAAAACAGGGAGAGTAAAGGGAGAATGGGTAGGAAAGAGGGAACCGATTACATGGAACTGTGTGTGACCTCCTCCCTGGGGGACAGACAACCGAAAAGTGGATGAAGGGAGACGTCGGACAGGGCAATATATGACAAAATACCCATTTATAAACTATCAAGGGCTCATGTGGGAGGGGGAAAATGAGGACCTAATGTTGGGGGTTTAAGTGGAGAGAAAATGTTTTGAGAAACGATGTACAAATGCACTTTACACAATTGATGTGTGTATGGATTGGGATAACAGTTGTATGAGCCCCTAATAAAATGTTAAAAAAAAAAATTCAGCCATAATTCCCCAGAAGCACCTTCTCTCTTAGAAACGTCTGACTCCCCATCATTTGTGAAACAGGAGCCTGGATGGCATAGTGATTACACGTTGGGCTGCAAGCTCAGTAGTTCAAAACCACCAGTCGCTCCATAGAAGAAAGAGGAGCTTTCTACTCCCACAAAGAGTTACAGTTTTGGAAATCCACAGGGGCATTTCTACTCTATAGGGTCACTCTGAGTTTAAATCAGCTTGATGGCAGTGAGTTTATTTATTTATTTTTAGTACCCATAGTCTATAGACTTGACTAAAGATAGTGCCAAACCAGGCAACGCATCATTCTGTTGTATGTGAGGTTATGAGTGGGAGCCAACTCAGCAGTAACTAACAACAGCCCAGAAGTCCAGTTCAGCCACAGATTTTTTTTCGATTGAGCACAGAATGCCTTTTGATTGAGACACAGAATGCCTTTTGATTGAGACACAGAATGCCTTTCAGTGGGATTTGTACTTCTTATATGCTCAACACTATTGAATTTTTAATAGTCTCATACCTAGCCAATGTTAATTTGTATAAATTAGATAAATATGAATCCCATAACTATTTCCAGCCCTGTTTAACACCTGCCTCCTAAACTATTTTTGTCCATTGAGCCTGACCTACAGGTCCTGCATTTTTCTGGATTTCCCGCTCAAAACTCATCTCATCTAGTCAATGCTGGTTTCTGAGATGTTAACTCTTTTCGGGAGTGTAGAAGCTGGAGGTTTTGAACTGCTACTTGTAGTTAGCAGCCCAATGTGGAACCACAAGGCTGCCACCTGTCATCTCCCACAACCTAATGGAAATAGCATCCTTAACTTCTTGTCCATGATTTTAGTCCTTTTAGACCCATCTTTCAAGACCTATCTTTTAGGCCCCCAAATCCTCCATGACTCCAAAATGCCTTTGCACTTTCCTGTTTGCATTAAATTTGACTTTGTATTAAAATCATTATCTAATTAGAGTACTAATATCAATGCTGGGAGGATACAAGATAAATCTTTGTCTCTGCTTTTAAATTTTAAAATATGATAAAAAATCTAAAAGTATCCCATCCTCCATGTTTCCTATGTCATTGGCTTATCATACAAGTCTTCATTTTTAGTTTCTAAAAGAAAAGAATTTTGGTTTTATCTACCTATTACACTTGTGTATAAGGATCCATACCTATTCAAATTAATCACTCTTAACATCAATTCTACCTTCCCTTCCAATACCCCCTGATCCCCACACACTAACCCGGGTTACTAGGATAATATTATCAGCCTACTGTCTAGAATATTCTCCATTCATATTTGAAATAACACATATTAAAGTAGTGCCAGCTACAGTCAAATACGGTTTTTGCTAGCAGAATTTAATCAAAACATGGACAAAAATCTTCAGATAATGTATGCCAAATTTTCCACTTGTACAGAGAATTACTTAGTTTGCTGGGAGCAGTTGCCAGAAGCCTGTATTTTAGAATGACTGTTCTATTGGATCAACAGATCAATTATTTAAGAGATCAGGTCCTCTGTTATAAATGGAAATGATGAACTCTTTTATAGAGAGCATTTAAGAGAACGGGTGCGTTTTACTGGAAAGCATAGAATCTACATGAGGTCATAAATATATATATTTATTTGTGAGTGTGTGTGTTTTAACTTGATAGGAAAGCAACGTGTTGACAGTCGCATTGGTGAATCAAGACCGAGAGAACAATATTGAGAAAAGAAGCCAAGGCTTAAAATCAGAGAAAGAAGCTCTGCTAATAGGTAAGGAAATTCTGTTCTCCTAATCGCTTCTCTTAAGGAATTTGCTTGAGTCATATCCCAATAATCCATGTCTGACTTGTGAACAATTGAAAAAGCTCTCCCTTCTGCTCAGAGGGGAGGTTGACTTTGTCCAGGTTATTGCATGTATTTCGAATTAGTGGAATGCCAACTAAGGAGGGTTTTGCTCTTCTTTTACCCTTGCTTGAGGTGATTGTCTGACATAAAACAGAGTTCAAAAGAAAGATTAATTTGCATCTCAAATATTAAGCACACTGCTGATGAGTCTATTCTAACAGTTACAGACTAGAATAGCCATGTAGGTTTCTCAGGCTGTAGATCTCTATGGAAGCAGACGGCAACGTCTGGTAGGTTTGAATGGACAACCTGTCAGTTGTCAGTCTTGCTAGCGCTTTACCTCTGCAAAACTGAGGATACCTTCCTCATATATCATAAATCCAAATTTGAAATGTGGTCATGCCACCTTCAGCCTGAGGCCAGGTTGAGCCCTGTTCTAACATTCCAAACCAGGACAAGTCCCAGGGCCCCAAAGCAGTACTGAACCTCAGTTTAATCTGTAACTCTTACACCAGCAGCCAGTGAGTTGATCCCAAACTCATGGTGACCCCTGTGTTTCAGAGGAGAGCTGAGCTCCAAAGGATTTCCAGTGACTGATGTTCTAGATCACTAGTTCTTTGCAACTAGTTCTTTGTCCTCAGGGAGGAGTTGGACCTCTACCTTTCAGGTTAGCAATCGAGGGCTTACCTATTTGCACTATCCATGGATTCAAATTCTACGGTGATTGCCAAGGTCAGACTCTCATGCTGCCGAGGTGAGGGCATCCAAGAACTCTTGCTGCGATGATGGAGGACACCTCATCCAGCTTTCCCTTCCCAAGATAAATAAAAGACCCTGACTGCTAAGAAGGGAGAGAGAAGGAAGGCAGCTGCTAGTACCCTAAAAACATGTCACTACCCCCACAAAATACATCCAGGTTGGCTTTTTGTCTGTATCAGAGACAAAGCTCTACGTGTTCTCTTTATGGTCCTCATCCATCTGTCCACATGCAGACTGTGCTGTTCTCTCAGAGGAGAGCTCTCAGGGTGGTGATGTGCCCACCAGTCCACCTTCGAAGCTGCTGTCTTCATCTCTAGAGTTACAAACTCAGCAGAAGGGAAGCCATCGCCTCGCTCAGAGTGCACAGCACCGAACTGCAGCTTCTCCCAGAGTTGGGGTCCAAGCTGAAGCCATCACCTCCATGAAGCATGAGGCCATTGTTGCTGTTAGACGAATTGTTTTGTTCTGGAGCTGATTATCTGGCAGAAGGAGCTCCTGGCTTCATTTTCTAAGCAGTGCCAGCACTCCCCTCAAAATGACAGGTACACCAGAGCCTTTAAAAGCTGGCACAGAAGGGATTAAATTCAGAAGATAGTCCAAACTTCATCCATCATATATAGATTTTTCAACTACAGGGTTATTGAATATGACATCAACTTAGAGATGCTCTAAGGAAAACCAATTATTTTTTTCTCTGATGATATACAGCTGTAATAACATGCCATGCACAAGTCTCCTAAGACATGCTGATGTGCTATCAGTTCCAGCAACCCAAAATGAACCCGTATGTAGTTGGCAACTGGTTTATTCTTCTATTGGAAAATGTGTCAAACTCTGACAACTGTTTTTCTTTCCCTCCGAATGACAAAGGTGTGATTTCACCACAAAGGCTCTCAGGGTACGAACAGAGCCCATAATCGTCTGCAGAAACCTCCCCCTCTTTGTTTAAGACTGAATAATGCAGACCACTTCAAGATCTGGGGGGAAAACAAAACACGGGAGATGTTCACCACTTTCCTTACTCCTGTCCTCTCCATACAGACAGAAGCCCCTTTTAAGTAATTCTTGGAGAACATAGTTCATTTAGAATGGCGCCTAAATAGTTACAAAGTTATATATGTGTATGTGTGTTTTCTTTTCACTCTCTCTGTACTCTAGTCTTCCGTGCAGTTTTTGAAGCCCCCTCATCTATATGTATGTATGTGTGTGTGTATATTACAAAACATATACATGTGTGTGTGTATATGATTAGAAAACACATACAGTATATACTTTTTTTTCTTAGCAGCTACCTCCAAATGTAGAAAGTGATAGATATGTTTTACATTCTGTAGGTTAATGAGAGTAGATATGAGGGCTATATTTAAAACATGCCACTTCAGCCGAGGCTTTCTTTCTCTATCAGAAAATAAAATGATGGAATTGAGTAATGGGAGTGTGTTAGCAAGAAAAGTATTGATGAGAAGGGCCTGCCCTGAAAACTTGGCAGAGCCGCCTCACACATTTCCTGACTTTCCCCGTGGTTGGTTGAACCAGTGGACCTTTACTAGCCTTGAGATCACAGAGATGAGCAAGAGAGACAGGCATGTGACATTCAAGACAGGCATGTGACATTCCTTTTGAAACAATGTATGGAACTGTTTAGATAGAAGGGAGGCTTGAGATTGTTTTTATTTTTTTGTTTTAATAAACATAAACCCAGGGGATTAATTTTTGCCTTCCTTTCTCTTTATCTCTCCATTCTCCTCCATATTTTAGACTTCTTAATAGAAGTGTTACTGCAGATGTGACCTTCGCACTTGTGTTAGTCTGGGTACTTTAGAGAAACAAATCCACAGAAGCTCATGTATAAGAGAGAGTTTTATATAAAGGGTAAGCGCACAACAAAAGACATCCCAACCCAGTGCTGCCCAAGCCCACAAGTCCAACATTAGCCCATATGTATGACACCAACCCACAAAGTCCTCCTCCATCTCACAAAAGACAAGCAATGACACTGACTGCAAGAGGAAAGCTGAATCAGTGAACGTGTAAGCATCTCAGCGCTGGCAGGGGTCTCCACATGGCTGCTTCAACACTCAGAGCTTCATCAGGGTAGGTCCATGTGGCTTCTCCTCAGGGATGTCTCATAGGAAGTGAGCCTTGCCAGCTGAAGCAGGGAACTGGCTAAGGCAGCTGCACCTTGGTCTGACCATCAGAAAGCAAGAGACCCGAGAACTAGAAAGGCAAGGCTCACCAAGCCATTTATCCCTCTGCCCTTTAATTAACCCCACATGTGTTTATCTGCCAGGTTGGCACAACTAATACTAATTATCTCACCACCCAAACCCATCTCCGTAGTATCTATGAAGTGGGCTTGTTTTGTAGTCAGAGTATTATCTCCCGAAAGAATTCCATGGAGCACAATCGTTGGCAAGACTGCCTTCAAAGGAGCCTTTCTGCTAATTGAGTTTGCCCATTTATATTTTCTAAATACCTGAGTGTTAGCATGATAGAGACCTTCCTTGAAGCTTCTGGATTCTAGACTTAGACTGTAGTGGGGACAGAATAGGGTTCTAAGACTGCAAAGGAGAAGCAGTAGTTCCTGGACAGGAAGGTAGAATGATTCTGGAAATCCCTGGATAACCGATGCATCTGGAGGGGTCAGGTATGCAGTTCCCCTGAAATCTGCTGTTGATATAAGTAAGCCAGAGAATAACAGTGGTCCTGCTCGAAGCCAGGATAGCAGGCCAGAAACATAGCAGAGAAACTTCCCTCAACTTGGAAATATTTCTTGGCAAATCTTGCTCATTTCTGTGTGTCCACAGACTGTGCCATATACCAATATATTCAGATGCCTAAACCTTCGTGGAGTTACATAGGTATTACATCTGACACACACATGTCCCAAATAGTGTCACCCTGAGAGGGAAGGAGAGAGAAAAGTAGGCTATTCTGATAGGTTCTGTCTGTGGAGAACTGAGAGTAGAACATCCTAAACAATGGGCAGAAATGGTGGTTTGTGGTTATTTGCAACACTGATCCATCCCTCTGGAAATGTCTGAATTCTTTTAAGGCATTATCATGATGATTTATAAAATTAGAGTCTTTATTACAAAGCATATCACTTGGATATCTATTTTACAGAATCAATGGGAGTTGAATCATTGGGACAGATGTCCTTCTTCACAATTAACCAAGTTTAGGTGCTGGGTAATTCAATTCAAGAAAACATGCCTTTAGGAAAAGGTTGTTATGGTTTCTGGGTTGTTTCCTTAACAAACCTTGTGGAGATCGGTTGGCATATAATCTATAATGGGATCTAAAAGAACTCAGTTTACATTAGGAATTGCACACTAGCGTTTTAAGTCTTACAACTCTAGAGTAATCAAGGTTAGGTTGGCTTAACAATACCCAGTCTGTGACAGAACCTCGTTCCTTTTACAGATAGCCCACCTGTTGGATTTGTCATGTGGAAAAATGATGTGGGATTCATGAGTCATTACTTTGGGGCACTGTGCTGAAGGAAAATGGCTTAACATGTTTGTATTGATAGATCAATAGTTACGAAGATGTTACCAGTATAATGCTGTGTCAATATCATTCCATCTTCTCTTGCTTTTTAAAATGCTATCACACGAGATGTCTAGTTCCAGCAACTATGACTGGCACCATCCAATGCTAGTCGTCATTATAAATCCCATCTAGCTATAGTCAACAATATCAAAATCACGTTGTGTCTAAAGTTGCTCTTCCTCAAGCCTTCTCTGGTCTCCTGAGAACTGTTCTTATGTATGTAAAACAACTCTTCATGATCAAGCCAACTTCTCCCACTGTTCATTCTTACTTCTCAGTCAATCAAGATGAATCATTACTACAAGCCTTTCCCCACCAGCATGCCCATCACTGTCACATCTCACACAAATGCATACCACTGGTCCCTTGATTAGAATGTCCCCCCAAGTGCACAGGTCTTGGGGAGAGAAGCAGTGGAGTGTAAAGAACTGTTTATAGAAGGCCGAGTGGTGGCTTCTTGGTGCTTTCAGTGAAGAGAACTGAGGCCATGTCAGGCAGCACCTGAGGGGACTAATCTGGGGAGAGTGTGCCTCTTCAAAAGCTATGGACTATAAAGAATGAATCATTGACCTAAAATTTGTTTGCAAGGTACAAATGTCCAAACCAATGAA